TTTTTCTTCTCGGTTTTCTTGGCTCTGTTTGGGATTATATATGAGTATAATATATTAAATGTATATAATAAATAATATTATATGATTATAATCAATATTTTTATATGATTAGGGTTCGATATATGCCTGCTTAGCTTGTTTGTTTGCATATTTCATATTTTTTTTTTGTGCGTGTGCTGGGGTTTCGGGTGTCACTGCAGATATCTACCGTCATGGCTGCATGCACAGCAACTCTACGTTATCCTTCTTCTTTATCTTCTAGTTTATTATCTTTGTTATCTTCTCTTGTACCCGTACCCCGTTGCCATTTCTTGATGTGCGGATACACCCCAATCACCCTCGAACGCTGCGTCTCAGCAGTGCAGAAAACCACCGTCATAGACATCATGCGCCGCCTCACACAATCCAAAAATATCATGGTGACTCCCCCCTTAAACCCTAAACCCTAAACCCTAAACCCTCAACCTGAAGCTCGCGGAGCTTCTTCCCCTGTTCATACACCCCGCGAGGACGTACGGCTTCGAGGCTCTGCTACAGTTTAGGCCATCATATGAAGATATATAGCTTCAACCATGCATGCATGCATGCATGCATGCAGTCACTCGCAAGTGCTTGCACGGATGCATGCGCTTGACTTGCAGCCTGGTGGCTTCTTGCTGCAGAGTCACAGACGCTGTCTTTGGGCTGCTGCTGCAGGTCTCCACATCTCTCCGCCGCGGTCTGTACATGTCCCTCTTAAACGTCATCCGCGGCGAGGCAGATCCTATGCAGGTGCTGCTGCTGCTACTGCTGCTGTTGCTGCTGCACGCTTTGTTGCAGCTGTTTATGTTCCTGGGTTGAACTGGCCCTGCTGCCGATGGTGCTGCCGCAGCGTAGGTGTTGGTGTTTCTTTTGCTGCTGCAGCATTGGTGGTGTTGGTGTTGCTTCTGCTGCTGCATTGGTGCTGCTGCTGCAGGTTCATAAGAGCCTGCAGCGCATCCGCGAGCGGCAGCTGCTGCAGTTCATCCGCTGGGCCCCCGCCTCTCCCCAGGTTGTGTTGGCCCGGGCTTCTCCATTCAACCCGCAGAAGCACAAGTGCGCGGGCTTGATGCTAGCGAACCACACGGCTATTACAAGTGTACGTTTTCTGCTGCAGTTGCTGCTGCTTATGAACCTCCTGCTGCTGCTGATCGACCTGCTGTTGCTGCTGCCGCTCTCCCTGCTGCTGCTGCTGCTAGTGCCCCTTGTGCTGCTGCTGTTGTTCTCCTTCCTGCTGCTGTGGGTTCTTTTGCTCCCGCTGCCAGGCGGAATTTCTCCCGTTATTCTACTTATGTCTCCTTTGCTGCTGCTGCTGCTGCTGCTGCTGCTGCTGCTGCAGCTTTTCGAGCGGTGTGTGGTT